GATACATGTATGTACATGTACTTATATATTTTAGTTGTATTATTGTACGTATAATTATTTGTACATGTACATGTGTGAATTTATTAATGTGTGGTGGGTGTTTGATGTGTTTCTGTGTGTCACATTAGCTCTCTCTCTCTCTTCAGGCCCTGCCTATCCCCAGGGATATGTTCTCCTCAATCAAAGGAGTACCAGTAAAGAGACCAGCTGAAGTCACTGTACCTCAATCACCTAACATTACTAAGAAAAGGAAGACTGTTGATGATGAAGTAGGGGGAGGGAGGGAGGGAGAGAGAGAGAGAGAGAGAGAGAGAGAGAGAGAGAGAGAGAGAGAGAGAGAGAGAGAGAGAGAGAGAGAGAGAGAGAGAGAGAGAGAGAGAGAGAGAGAGAGAGAGATCATTAGTGTCTTTGCATGTACTTATAGCTCAAAAATTATCTTTATACATGTATATAGCATAATGTATTATGTACATGTAGAAAATCATTTTCAATGTAATATTTATTTATTCATTCATTCATTTATTTATTGCTAGGAGGAGCCTACTTCACCTCCTCCTGTATCTACCTTCAAGCCACTCCCAATGCCAAAGTTCAATAAACCATTCCAACCCACACTAACACACTCTCAGTCAACAATACCTCAACCTTTCTCTTTTGATAATAAGTACACAAGTAAAGATGAAGTGATAGAGCAACTAGTGCAGAAAGAAGAAGAGGAACTGGCTAAAGTGAGTCATCAATTTAAATTTATAATAACACATATTGATGTCCTTATGCTGTGTAGAAAGTTTGAGCTGATTCCGACTTCAATTTTTCAAGTTATGGCCATTTTAAAATGGCCAATTTTCAAAAAATACCCAAGGCTATATACAGCCCATGGTTTTTTCCAAAAAATGGCTCCGAAATCACCCCAAATTTTTATTAAATTTTCTGATACATATTGATGTCCTTATGCTGTGTAGAAAGTTTGAGCTGATTCCGACTTCAATTTTTCAAATTACGTCCATTTTAAGAAAACGCCAAAAATCTGAAAAATACCCAAGGCTATAGCCCATGGTTTTTTCCAAAAAATGGCTCCGAAATCACCCCAAATTTTTATTACATTTTCTGATACATATTGATGTCCTTATACTGTGTAGAAAGTTTGAGCTGATTCCAATTTCAATTTTTTAAAGTTATGGCCATTTTAAAAAATGGCTGATTTTCGAAAAAAAATACCCAAGGCTATAGCCCATGGTTTTTTCCAAAAAATGGCTCCAAAATAACCCCAAATTTTTATTACATTTTCTGATACATATTGTTGTCCTTATGCTGTGTAGAAAGTTTGAGCTGATTCCGACTTCAATTTTTCAAGTTATGGCCATTTTAAGAAAACCCCAAAAATCTGAAAAATACCCAAGGCTTATAGCCCACTAGTTTTTTCCAAAAAATAGCTCCGAAATCACCCTAAATTTTTATTACATTTTCTGATACATATTGATGTCCTTATACTGTGTAGAAATTTTGAGCTGATTCCGATTTCAATTTTCAAGTTATGGCCATTTTTAAAAATGGCCGATTTTTGAAAAAATACCCAAGGCTATAGCCCATGGTTTTTTCCAAAAAATAGCTCCGAAATCACCCCAAATTTTTATTACATTTTCTGATACATATTAATGTCCTTATGCTGTGTAGAAAGTTTGAGCTGATTCCGATTTCAATTTTTCAAGTTATGGCCATTTTAAAAAATGGCCGATTTTTGAAAAAATACCCAAGGCTATAGCCCATGGTTTTTTCCAAAAAATAGCTCCGAAATCACCCCAAATTTTTATTACATTTTCTGATACATATTAATGTCCTTATGCTGTGTAGAAAGTTTGAGCTGA